GTAACGAATATTAGAAATTAAAATATATTATTTATCACTAAATATAAAAAAAAAATAATTAAAAAATGTTGAAAGCGTTTTAGTTACTTGAAATTGTTAAAAAAAATACAGTCAATAGAAAAAACTCTAACTAAAATCAACTAACATTTTTTATACTTCTTGTTGCATTTAAATAACATGCATACGCATCCCTTGGTTGCCCACAACTTTCATACAATATTCCTAGGTTAGTCCACGCCGCCTTATGATTCTTGTCGAGTTGAACTGCACATATATACGCTTGCAGCGCGTCTGTCGGTTGACTTTGTTGCTGATATAATACCCTATAGAAGTCGAAATATGCACATTATTAAATATTTGGAATTTAACAAATTTATAAATAATTTATAAAAATATTACCCGATAGAACACCATGTATCGGCGTTTCCTTCACTCTTTTCCACAGAATTTCGATAAGCTATGAATGCGTCGTGAACTTTATTAATACCCGCATAACATCTGCCTAATAAATAAAGTGATTGTCCTGATTTCGGATTTGCTTCAATTGACTTTTGTAAACATATTATTGCATAATTATCTCGTTGTTTTTTATCTCCTAATGATTCAACGCAATGATACATCCATCCTTAAGAGAGGAAATATTTTTGGTTTTATTAAAATTATATTTTTGACAAATTAATGTAATACACATACATACCTAATTGTCTATATATATCTGCTTTCAATTCCAATGTCAGCTCTTTACTATTAAGAAGATGATCGTAGGCCTCTTTGGCCGCTTTATGCTTATTATGAACTTCATATAGATGGGCAATGTGAAATTTTACTGAAAAATATTTTAATAGTTTAATATGGATATTTGTGACAAATGGTATATGTTTTAAAATTTTTTAATCTTGCAAGTATTGTATACACTTACTTTGTAGCTTAGAAAATGTGCATGGAGAATTGTCAATTTGGGCTAATTTCAAGTGTTTAAGTGATAGTTTATACTCCCCAAAGACTTTTAGCATAAGCCCAATGCGTAAATGAGCCTCACTAGCCCGTATAAAATTCGGGTCTTGATAAAGTAAACTCCGAAACGCTCTAATAGACCTAGAAAGCAGAAGTTATGAAATTAGAAGATGAGATATATTATTAATTAAAATATCGATTAACAATTTACATATAATTAAGTTTATGTAACTAAGACAAAGTTATAAATAACAAATCACCAATGCTGTATAAAGGTAACGATTGTATACATATTTATTCTATTCTATTCTTCCATTTTCATTACGATGATAGCGTTATTATAAAAAAAAATTAGCTTTAGCTATTTAAGTTTACTTTTTTTATCTTTCAGCAATTTTTTAATAAATGTATACCAAAATGCGAACATTTTACCGATTTTAAAATCAGCTCATTTATGTCTAGCTCACTATGGTTCTTTTGTTAAAAATTTTGTTTCTACCAAACTAAATTTACAACAATTTTCTCCGTTAATGTTGAAAATCACTTCGCCTCCAAAATAGCGGCATTAAAAACATCTTAATATGTATGACTTTCATAGAGTACATTTACATACCCACGCATGGGATATATTGTTTGTAACTGTTTCCGCCCTGTGTGGGGTTAAATATAATATATTAATACTTATATATATACAAAATACATGTACATAAATATTATTAAAACATTTTATTACATATGTAGCTGCGAAAGCTTTGCAAACAAATATAAAAACACAATAAAACTTTCCAAATTCAAAACAAAATAAAAAATAAATAATAAAAAAAAATCCCTTTTCGTACCACCCCAAGATGCACATTTATGCATTAGTGCATACTCTGTTATGTGTACATACATATATAAGTGCTGCTCTACTAGACTATGCAGCAGCGAAGCACTAGTGCCTACGTGACCAGACATTTCACATACATTTTATATGTATGCCATAGAAAAATTCTAATGAATTTTTACAAATGCAATATTATTTAATAGGTTTACATTGTTTTTCAAATGCATTGATTACGAAATCAAAACGTTTTCTATTGCAAAGTTTGTGTTTTGTTTATAGGGTTAAGTATAAAGCTGTTTTTTTTTTGTTATTGGCCAGACAAAGTGTACGAGTAAATACAAATGTTTATTTTACATAGTCAATCATAATCTTTTACATTTTACCATTTAACTTACGTATTTTCTAATAAGTTTTCTTTTAATTATTTAGATGCAGGGAAATAAGATATTTCATAGATGAGGCGTTAGCGTGTAGATGTATACGAAAACAAATGCATTAGATTGTGAATCCCTTCTTGAAATATTGGTGTATACACAAACTAACACCATCAAATAATTTTCACGTATTTTATGAAATATTCTTCTTTTATGTTTACATTATTCGCACATATCATATTGATTTAAAAATTTATATACCAAAATGGTATTTGATTTATTTCACTTAGATATATCGGTGTTAGAATTTATGTTAGTTTATAAAATATTTTCGTTTCGGTTTTATCATTCGTCAAACGATTACACATATTCATCAGTTATTCACAAATGTATTTATCATAAATAACCACACAATGCATAAAAACTTGAGTTATAGTACTTGTGTTAATTTTGGTGTTGTTAACTTCTTACAAATACACTAAATTCTATTTTTTTATTACTACAATTAAAATCACTCAATGGCAGTGAGAAATAAATATGGCGGATTCAACCGCACAAAGGCAGTGCATCGTGCCCTACGGAAGGAGTTTAGCGAACTAAAAAAGAAAATATGGGAAATATCATACACAGTGTTGCCAACAAATTTCATTAAATATTGTTGTTTGATTATGGTTTAACTTCAGTTAATTGGCAACACTTTTATAAAATGGGAAATTCCAAACAAATAGGTAATCAATTTGATTTATGATATATACATATGTATGGTTTTTATAAAACAAAATAAAAGTAATTTAACGTATAGATAACTGTTGTAGAAGTCATATATTGTATATTGGTTGGTTTGTAGTTTCCAATTGGATACATCTATCGCTTGTTTTGTATAAAATACGTAAATCTATATTATATATAAGTATAATTTATATTAAATATATAACATATTATATGAAACATTCACGAAACTAGATTTAAATAAAATGACACAAACACCCGGACCCTTGAATATAAAAGCTCTTACTATTGATAAAATACGAGTACCTTTAGTACGGTACTCACCATGTATTGCATAAAGTAGAGTACTGTCGCGAATAACATATAATTCAATATTAGCCTTACTTTATAAGACAAATTACACCTGACATCATTTTATTGAAAATTATTCTAATATACGCAATAAATATAAAAATAAAAAAGATCATTTATCATTATATGTACACACGACTATTAAAGATTTGTCTACTCTCAATGATACATGTATATGTATATATGTATATTATATATGCGAATGTACTCTTTATACAATAAATAATATCAACGATTACTAAAACAGACTCGAAGTCTAGTGATTGTTATCCATTGGCTATTAAAATATAGGTCATGGACCTTTATGAAGATCTCATCTTATCTACTATTTTTAATAGTTACTTACCATCTAAATGCATTAAAATGGAAATAAACCATCCCAAGCCCATACAGAAAAGGCAAATTTTTCCAGTTCTTTGGACAAAGTTGATAATACTTTTGATAAGCTGCAAGCGCTGGAATATAAAAATATGAAATTATCAATGTGCACTTCGAATGATTACGTTTAAAGCGCAAAGTTAATGCCTTAATATGCGCAATATATATACATACCTTCGTCATACTCTTCAAGAAGTAAATGAAGGTGTCCCAGCTTACAATAAGTCAAAACATCTACGGAAATTTTATTTTTATCATTACCAACGTCCCGATTAGTGGTAGAAGTTTCCACAGATGTTTGATTAGCACTTTCTTCTTCTTTCTTTTGGGGACTTGGTAAGTCAACAGGCACTTGGGTACTGTTTTCCTGAAACAGTTCATCACTTCCCTGCTCTGTCTTCATCACATGTGGGTTCGATTCTTCAGGCACATCTTCTGATTTTATTGCTAATTTCTCACTTTGCTCTTCTTCCCTTCTTGATATAATAACCTTTTGTAAGATTTTCACCGCACGTTCAACAATAATACGTATGGCTGCATTTTCAGGCGCTGTCAATTTGAGAAAACCAAACTGGCGACTGTGTAGTTAAGAAGAAATTGTTGAAAGTATTATAAATTTGTACGTCCAAAGTTATTGCAATGTGGAACACACCTGTCCAAGTCAGCTATAAAGTGCATTTCCTCCACGGTAAGATTGTCCTCAGCATCAAATTCCATTTTTGTTTAATAAATTCTACGGCAACTAAAACAAACGTGTAAACTCGCAACAAAAAACAGGGTATACCGTATGTTGCCACATTTTCGTACGTCGTACAAATAGATTGAAATTACTTTACATAAAATAGGAAAACTTAGTGGATAACTACTACAGAACAGGGTGAATAGTGTTTTTCAAGTTGCCAATATTTTTGGACAATTATTGCATTTTACACATTTTTTCGAAAATAAGCCATATTATACAGGAATTTTTTATAAAAAAAAAATAAATATAAAATGTTGCTATTAGTAATATCACTTTGGATATATTAAATCTAAAAATATTATCGAAATCTCAAAGTCGATGAATTTAAAGGAACGCTATGTCATGTATCCTAATGTCACCTGCGGTAGCATGAAAAGACTATGTGCTTCATAAAATAAATTACACAATATTTAATAAAAAAATGGAGAACTTTAATTTCGGTGGGTCACAGTTATCGCGAAATGAAATCGTTCAGTTACTTCTTCGAGTTTCCATTGCATCTGTCATCACATTTTATTCGGTGAAATGGATGATGAACCAACTTGATCCAACGAGCAAGAATAAAAAGAAGGCTAAGTTGCGTGCTGAAGAACAATTAAAAAGGTAGTGTTATTTTCACAAATCGTGTTTATACCAGCAAATGTAATTTTATTTATTTTTAGGCTAGGTGATCAAAGTGGTTTCAAAGTTAATCCACAACAATTTAATGACTATGAGCTTATGATTGCCACTCATTTAGTTGTGCCTGCAGATATAACAGTGAGCTGGAATGATATTGCTGGTCTCGATAATGTTATACAGGAACTACGAGAGTCTGTTGTGTTACCAGTGAGACATCGAGATTTATTTAATCAGTCCAAACTGTGGCAAGCACCAAAAGGTGTATTGTTGCACGGACCGCCAGGTTGTGGTAAGACTTTAATCGCAAAAGCAACTGCAAAAGAAGCTGGTATGCGTTTCATAAACTTGGACGTAGCAATTCTAACAGATAAATGGTATGGTGAATCCCAGAAATTGGCATCGGCAGTCTTTTCGTTGGCTATCAAAATTCAACCTTGCATAATTTTCATAGATGAAATTGATTCATTTTTGCGCAGTCGCAACTCAAACGACCATGAGGCTACTGCAATGATGAAAACTCAATTTATGATGCTATGGGATGGACTTAATACAAATTCAAATTCAACGGTTATTGTTATGGGCGCAACTAATCGTCCAAAAGATTTAGATAAGGCTATCATACGCCGTATGCCGGCTCAATTCCATATCGGACTACCGACCGAAGAACAACGATTACAAATTCTAAAATTAATTTTAGATACTGAATGCGTACATAATGATGTTGATTTTAATCGATTGGCAAAGCTAACAACTGGGTTTTCTGGTTCGGATTTAAGAGAAATGTGTCGCAATGCCTCAGTTTACAGAATGCGTTTATTTATGCGTTCCAATGAGAATCAACTTACGGTATTTTCGACTCAATCCGCTGAACCATCGACATCGGCAAACGCTGCTATAGAATTGAGTAATCCTTTAATTGCCATTTCTATGGAAGATCTCCTTAAATCATATGATAAAATGAAGGAGTCAAAGTTGCACACCGGAAATTTATTTATGGAAAATCGAATGGAACTAGATTAGTGACAGTTAATGTTTTAAATATATATAGTTTTGTGAAAGTTACACACGTACACGCATTCATATTTATAAAATATTCACAAAGTGATTAAGGTTCCAAATTGTTCTAAATGCGTAATCTTTATACATGTAGTTTTAAAACATATATCAATTTGTTTTTTACATTTTTATGTACAAAATAAAAATATATAGTAGTGCACTACTATCTGCGCTATAAAATATATAAGTACAAGCACATGTTTAAAACGATTTACTTAAAAAATATTGTTTATTAAAATAATAAAATGTATATTCCTGCGTCGCAGATATTACATTAAAGCACCATTTGGATGTAACTACGATCTTATTATGAGAAAATAAAATATGGAATCTTTATAAGATTTTGTTATTTATTAGTCATATACTCGTATGGTTAGGCTCTAGCTAAATTATGAACTAAAGTTTCAAAACTTGAAAGCATGTATTGAAATTCTACAATAAATGCATGTATATACCTTTTATATGAATATTTAAATTAATTTACTTTCGATAAATATTGCAAACCTAAAAAATTTAGTATTGCAAAGAGCCTATTGAAAACGTTATAATATTTTTACGAACCGATTAAAGAAATTATCGATACATCGGTCGACTTTCGCAAGTTCACAATTGTGTGTGGGAATTAGTTTAATTGTAGCGTGTACATCTTCCAATCAACGTAGTAGCGAAATTTGCGGACTTCGTAATTCTAAATATTTGTTTAAAAAATGGCCACAACTCTAGCTACAGACCGTTTCTGGGTGGATAAGGCAAATTGCCATAACGCTGAACGTCAATATTACGAACTTTTGAGCAAGGAGGTAAAGAATCGAAAATATACTTATAACTCAACTCCCTATTGTACATAACTGTTACACGTGTCGGTAAAATAATCTCTATCTGTAAATCTAATATGTAGTTATGTTTCCTTTCATGCTGCTCAAATGAGGATAAGGTCAAACAGATAAGCGGGGATGGTCACTTGAATGGTGTGCAAGAACCCCAAACTAAATTGAAAAAAAGCAAAAAATTGAAATACAAAAAGAATGAGCATGTAGCAAAATTAACAGAAATATCGACAAACTCTGAAAGCGAAGAGAGACTTTTATCAACCGGCTCCCAGGTCAATGCACCTATTGAAGTACCCAAAGTGGTTGCTAAACAAAGTGGAGAAAAGCCCAAAAAAAGAAATAAGGGAGCTAAAAAAAATGCTGATATGTTGGTTAGCAAGAGTCCTACTAGTAAAATATTGCAAACTTATTCTGCACAAATTACACTTTTTAAAAGTTATTTAAATATCAAATTTGTTTCATATACTTTTAAATATTTCCGTTAAGTACACAACAGTAGCAGTAGAGCTTGGGTATATCTTATTCAATGTTAATTTTTCTTTAATTTCGCAAATAAAAGTTTTTAGTTGGAATCGCCTTTCCTAAACATCTTTGAAATATACAATTTTATTATTTTTGTTTTTATGGCACCAGCTTTATTTTTATTTGCTAAAGACTAGCAAATGCCATATATTTAGTGAATTTAAATTCTCAATGTTTTTACTTATATTTAAAGGGTTCCTCGGCCAACAGCCAGTGCACTTTAGTCTCGGAAATCGCTAAAGCAAGAGAACATATTAAAAATTCTTTAGAAAAGGTAATTGTAAATGTTTTACCTTGGTGCTATGTAAAAAATCGAATTTGCATGTGTTTTCGTTAGTGTTTTTTTTCTGTATTGAGTCTACTTCTAAACTATTTACTAAAAATAATTATAAATTATTTTTTTTTTTTTGCAATTATAGATGGACGGTATTACTACACTAACTGCAACTCCAGCATCCGGTGAGGTTCTTGATCGTGTTATTGTTATAGAAAAAGACAACGCCGATTTGAGAAAGTTAATAGAAAGCTTGAGATCGGTTTGTTTAGAAACTCAAAGTCGCATAACAGCTTTGGAAAAGAAAGTTAACGCCGAACTAACCGGTACAACTGTTGTACCGACATCTGCCCCTGCCCCAGTCTCCAACGCCGCACCTGCAAAGGCAGAAGCTGATGATGATGATGTGGATCTTTTCGGTTCTGAAGACGAAGAGGATGAAGAAGCCGCACGTGTGCGCGAGGAGCGTTTGGCTGCATACGCCGCAAAGAAATCGAAGAAACCGCAAATTATCGCAAAATCTAGTTTGATTTTAGATGTTAAGCCATGGGACGATGAAACCGATCTTAAAGTTATGGAAACGGAAATAAGAAAAATCGAAACCGATGGACTCTTATGGGGCGCATCCAAATTCGTTCCAGTTGCTTTTGGTATCCAAAAGCTTAGTATTTCGTGTGTCGTCGAAGACGACAAAGTCTCAATTGATTGGTTAACTGAAGAAATCGAAAAACTAGAAGACTACGTTCAAAGTGTTGATGTTGCTGCATTCAATAAAATTTAAATATTCATATTAAATAAAAATTTTGAGTATCTAAAAAATTATGAAGTGTTAATTTATTTCAAATTGAATTTCAAAACTTTGTTAAATTCAGAAACATAGAAGAAACTCATTAAAAGTATTGTTTATTTATTTAAGTCATTGAAATTCGTTTTACACACATCCATCACATGCCAGTAACCCACGTATTAATTAATTAGAAATATTCCATACATCGATTTTTATTAATTAAATATTCAACGCTTTTAATTCAAGCACTGTTGTGATATCAATTACATCATATTCGCTTTATAAATCAAACTCAGTTAAATTAAATGAAATGAATAGGTATGTGTGTAATTAATGAGATGCTAGATATCGGTAAGAGTAACATCGTAAATTAAGCATGCGATTTATATTAAGCCGAAGCTACGCCTAATGCAATTCCGCCTACGAAGGCCGTTAAGAAAATGTGAAGATCGTTTACTTTGGGTCCATTTTCGTCACCAATAAGTTTGCTATACCATTTTTTGGCTTTCTTTGTTTTTGACTTTAATATGTTCTCTGCACGATCTAGTTTACGATCAACAAAACGTTCAGTCTGAAAAGTGAAAGGCGAAATATTATGTTAAAGTGTGCTGCGATAATAAGAACTTAAAAACAACAAGCATTAAAAATTTACTATAGAAAATGTTAGTTAGTATTCTTAAAATGCTGATGTATAAATATACACATAAAATATTAGAAAACTACAAATCTACTAAATCACTACCTACGCGATCACCAACTTATTTTACACTAAAAAATAACGAATAACAATTTCTTAAAATATTTGCATAATTTATTCCAAAGCCAAAGAAGACAACATTTCAATTATATGAGCGCATACATATGCATTTCTAATATTAATACTTGTGACGTTAATTGTCATGTTTAGCAGTCTGCTATAGATAACATTGATCCTAAAGTAATTCATGCACAGCCAACTCCAACAAGAGCGCCACCAAGAAATGCTACCGTGAAAATTGCGTTGTTTTTAACAAACACTTTGCCCTGGTTAAAACGAAAAATAAAGGCAATTAGTAGCAAACAATACTTTTTGTATTATTAAGAATATTCTTTTAATGGAATAAGTTTCCATTATAAAATCATTTCGTTCATTATTCGCGCAAGCGTACATTTTTATTTTAAACTTTTTTTGAGATTCAACTTTTGAAAATTGTTTAAAGAACTTTAATAAAAATTAAAAAATATTTTATTTTTGTATTTCATTCCCATATTTTTTTTTAAACTCGACAAGGCTCTACGTAATGTGTGGGCTGTGCCAAATAAATTCTCAAATTTTGGGTTTGTATAGATCAAAAATATAAGCTTCTTACACTCACCTTTTCAATCCAATTTTTTTCTTGGCCAGTTACAGCCGTTTCTACTTTGTCAGTGACTTTATCAAGTTTTCCTGTGATTTTTGACCAATCGATTTCAATAAAACCTTCCTGATGGGCAATTTCCATTAAAATAATACCACCTCCGATAGCGAAAGCTGCAAATTTGCCAATTTTCATTGTTGCAAAACCAGTAAACCTATGTGAAAGTTTAAAAATATTTGGTATACAATATTGAATTTGTAAAATTTTTTAATAATTTTTAGATTCATACATATATATACACGTATCCATTATTAGATTTTATAAACTGTAGAAATACACTTGGCTTATAGTAATAATATATCATGTATTTGCATACACATAATACAATTAAAAAAAAAATGTATGTTAAAAAATTATCAAATATCATAAATGAATCATTTGTTGTACCTATATCATTACATTCATATGTATATATGTATGTCATTGCAATTAACGAGCAATATATGTAAAGCACTGTTTTCGTTCTATTTAACATGCCTATTTTCCCATAAATTTGAAAATTACGTCACCTATCTGAGATTTGCTTAAATACATAATAGTCCTATGATAATTGCTATTGCATCTTTTTATATTTTATATTATAAAATTGCAAACATTTGTACATACATACATATGTATATATTTATGCTGAAAAAAGTGCTACTCACCATCCTGAGGTGGCACCAATAGCTATTTGAGTGTACGCCGATCGTGAGCTTATATCACCGAGGACACCACCCAAAAACTTTGATGCGTCTTCCGTCATTTTCTCGACTCTAGCGTTATTTGCGTTTTTGTGTGATTTTGACCAATCGCTCATGCCTTTTATGTGTTTGCACGGTTCAGCCTAATTATATTATAATTATTATGTTAGCAAGCGAATATTAAACAACAAGGATTAATGCATTATATAATTACCAGACAATGCTGTTATTTCTATTTTGAATATGGAATTTCTTCGTCTATTCTTAGCAAAATTCCAAAGATTATCCCGAAACAATCACAAACAATTTTTTCTTCCAACTATTGGGGATGTCAAATAATCGATAAATAGCGATAAATTTAATTGAATTCTTCTTTGAGCTTTCGCAAGTGTTAAATATATGGGTTAATAAGGGTTGCAACTATATAAGGTACATGCTTTCATTTAATTTTAAAATTTTAATTAAAGGATGTAAAGCTCTGCATATAAGGCAATTTGAGCTCTTACAGATTGAAAAAATGGTTATTTGGTTTAATGCTATATCATTAAACGTGTATCCATAATGGTTTACTCCTAACTGTTTTGGAACCGTCGTTCGAAGGTTAAATATAATACATGGCTCAACTCCTCTTACTTAGAACTGTTCCATTGGTATTATTTAACATTAGACGTCTATTATCACATTTTTAGAGAAGCATAAAATATGCAATCTTGCACTTTAATGAATAATTGTTGAACGTATATGTGTATCTAGGAGTTTATGTGTTGACATTGTTCTTTAAATACTTGCCATACTTACATATGTAAGTGAATCATCAACTTAAAATGCATGCATATAAAATAGTGAGTATTAATTAGTTTAAAGAATCAGTACGCACTTTATTTAGTTTCCACTGTATACAGGCATTTTACCACTAAATATTTCTTAGTCATAGCTATAAAAACGTATTTATTTAGTATTTCACAAATTAACGATTCAAATTCAAAATTTGAAAACTCAAATCAATTTAAATTTCACTGCATGAGGTTTTTTTGATAACTATATTTTTATCATTTGGATAATGTAAATTAGTTTACTACATTATAAATTATTTCGAAATAAAGTATATTTCTTAAAAGTTATGTTGTAGTGAGTTACATACATAAATTTTACTTATATATATAATTTATACCTACACATTTGGGTACATAGCATTTTTAGTAGAAAGGAAAATTTTAAAAAGAAAAAGTACATTTACAATGTTGCTTTGAAATGAATTTGAGGATTTATAACCGATTTTTTTACTATATTTTAATTTTATTACTGAAACAATTAGTAATAAATAAATAAAAATGATATATTAAACTAAGTCTATAGTAATAATTTAAAATTAAGCTTAAATGCCTATTCACACACCCTTTATGGAGAAAATAACAACCCAAAGTAGACAGTGCTCAGAAGATATTAAGTCCAACGGTTCAAACAATTTATGGTAAAATAATTTATAAATAATGCCACCTTGGTTCAAAAATAATATGTATGCATAAGTGTTATATAATCTATCAACATATTATCATTTAAAATGTAATTAAATAGCTCCCAACTTAAATGTATGATAATAAGTAACTACTATACACGCGCGTGTAACAAGGTACTGATGCTATAAAATAAAGAATACATATTTTCTAAGGTAAATAAAAGAGCAGTAGCGGTTTTACATATGTAGTCGCGCATGCATACATCACCATCGCCAAAAGTATATTTTTTTCTTTAACTAATTTATAATTTAATTGCATAAGCTTAAATAAGTTATTAAATAAACTATTCACCACTTTACGCACGTTTTCTATAAAAAAAATGCGCATAAGAACATGTGCATGCGCTCAATGTGCGAGCGTACCCTTTTCACATAGAGTAAGCGTTTATAAGCTTTTAAGAAACAAAAAATATATATATATTATAATAATCAATTTTAAAATTTTTTGTAATGTTAATATTTTTTAAATTATTATTGTTGATAAAAAATACTTAAAAGTCTTAATCAACAACATAGTAACCCTTTTATAAAATTGTACAAACAAATGCATTAATTAATCAAGCAATATTGGTTGTAATATATTTTATGAATACGAAATTTTTTATTACAAAAAAATTTTTTTTTTTAAATATTGCTTAGTCAATAACATTTTTCGATGACGAACAAATGTTATACACTATTAAGGTGTATAGACTAACTTACTTCTTGTGTGACTTCTAAAATTAGTAAGATAAATAATTTAGAAAGAAAATAAAATATGTAAAATAAAACAAAAATTTTGCAAGTATATAAAAAAATAAAAAAAATTGAAAATATCAATATTTGAAAATAAAAAAATTTGAAAATAAGTAAAAAAAAATGTTAACAATATTAAAAATATGAAACAGAAAAAAAAATTCGAAATACAATAAAAAAAATGGTTTTAAATAAAATTTTGGAAAAGAAATAATTAGAAAAAAAAGAAAATTAAAAAACAGGAAATTAAAAATAAATCGTAATTTCTTTATTATATGCCGATGCAAATGTGCGTGTGACTATTTCCGAGTACAACGTAAATTTTAATGTCATCTGAAGATTATACTTGAATGTAATTTATTTCATATAGAATTTGAGCTTTATACTAATTTTCATGGCTGTACAAGTAGATACGATTATTTGGCGATAAATTTATTTTTATATTGCTATCATATGAGTTTATTTTTTGCTTTAGAAAAACTATTATTATATACACATATGTACATATTTACATTAGGTACATTCAACCTGTCAACAATTTCAGAATAGTATAAAATATTTTTTTAATAGCTATAAAAGTAATCATTTTAATTATTATAATGGAGAGCGAAACTAATGTTACAGTGTGCCAGAAAAAAATAACGTTAAGATTTTATGTTGTTTTTCGTATTTTCAAATTTTCCACAAATGAATCTTGACTGCCGTGTGCATCAATTGAAAAATGTTATTTGTTATAAATGTATGCAATGTACACGCAACTGACTGATTGGGGGGATAATGCCACTACAAACTATAGAAGCTTAGTTAGTTCCGGGTTTTATGCAATTTTAGCCCTGTTTACCAAAATAGTATTTTTTAAATGTAATAAATCGAAAATATATAAAATATATGTGTTATATTTCTTTCAAAAATGTATTAATAAGTTAATAGTTTGAAAACCTCCAACATAACAATGATTTCATAAAAATAAATAATTTCAATCAATCGAGATCAATGCAAACTTTTTGTACATTTGTTAACTAACCAGAAAGCACTAAAAACAACATAAAAGCTGACGCATTCTTACAGTCAACCATTACAAGTGTGTTCATTTAAAAAAAATTAACTAATTTTTTACAACCAGAAAATCGTTTCTACACATCTCCGAGCCTGTCGAGTCTTTTAAGTTATTTAAATATTTTTCCTACGCTTTAACGCTATTAATTAATAAATAATAAACTAAAAATAAATAAATGAGTTTTAAACAAAAGTACAATGGTGTTGTTTTTTGTGTTTGTAACTAAACTAAGTTCGTTTTAGTTTTACATAGCACAATAAGGTGTTCGTTATTTCCTCAGTGTTTGAGTTGATTGTTTTTTTTTGTGCAAACGCCTCTGAAGTGTCGGTTTTAGTCCTAAAAAAAACAAGGATTCGACACGAAAAAGCTCTTTATTTTCAATTTAAACCGTGCCTAAATCATTTTCCTTTTGCCATATACTTTACTTGCGGATTTTTGATCTTTGGCAATAAATTTTTTATAACCAAAATAAATATGTATTTAGTTCCGAAGTTGATTTTTTTTGCAAACGCCCCTGATATTTCGGTTTTGTCCTAAAAAAAATTAAAAAAAAAGGAAGCTTAAACAAGCTCTTTTCTATATTTTCAATTCAAATCGTTTCTAAATTATTTTAGCTATTCCATATATTTAACATGCGAATTTTTGAATTTTGGCAATACATTTTTTAGCTCCAAAACAAACATACCTATAACTTTGAAAAGAGGATATTCGAATACAAAATCTATCTCTCTACAAAAAAGAGTTTGATGATTTTTTCCATAAAACCAGTCTCTTAAAAGTTATACGCAGTTAAAGTTATGCATCAAATGTACTGAGCATTCACACAAGTGTTTCATAAGTTTTGTGTTGTTCATACGACATGGTGTACTGTATAAATACTCAGTTACTGCATTACTGATCCTCAGTGCATTTGATGTATTGTATAATTTCAACTTCGTATAACTTTTATGGGACTGGTTTTATGGAAAAAATCATTAAGACCTTTTTTAAAAAATAATTTTTTTCAAGGCTGTTTACTTGTTTGATGCAAAAAACTACATGTTATATGTGTACATGGGAAAAGAATTACGATTTAGGCACGATAGAGCGATCTTAGAAAAAGCACACGTCTTTTCCAAAAAAAAAAAAAAATCAACTTGGAAACAACGAACACCCTAATGCACAGGCATATGCATAGTTAGTACATGGTACATTTATAGCAATATAGCCCTATGTACGTACATACTACCGAAGTATGTATATATATATGTGTGTGTGTGATTAGGTCTTGAAACACTCTTCCGATAATAATTTTAATGTGAGAGTTAGATAAATTTAAACTAGCTTTGTATAAATGTATAGTAATCATATTAATTATTGTAATAGCAATAAAAAGTTACTTATTAGCATACAAAATTAAGAGGTCAGATCAATTGATATAACACGACTTGGCGATACTAAAGACAGGCTACGCGCACGTTCGCGTTCCGCCAGGTGTGTTTGTTTTGTATTGCTTAAATTTGTATTGGTGCTTGTGGCTAACGCATTCAATTCCGGATACCAGTCGGGTGTTAATGTTGGTGTTGCACTATTATTATTGGCTATTTGATGTTTGACAACAAGGCCCGCAGCTGTGGTGGTACCGTTTTGTGCACGATTTTCTTGATTTTGATTTCTAAATGTATTACCAGCGTTCGTTGTTGTTGTAATATCATTATTTGTTGGCACTGTTGAGGTCAATGCGTTAGCGGTATAATTGGAAAATATATAAACTGACGGTTGCAATGGTTTTGGTAATGTAATACCATTATCCATTGCGGTGGCGTATATTGCAGTAGGTGTTGGATTTAATAGTGCATTTATATCGATAGTGGAAGATTTTTTACTCTCATCCCTGCTGGCCGGTGCAGTTGGCGCTGTGGTTGTGGCGGCTGTTGAGGAACTATTCACAGCTAGATTTGTTGTGTGTGTCAAAGATACGCGTGTGCTGGCGATTGTTGTAGCACGTATTGGCGGCTTATCTGGCCCTTTAGTTGGCCCATTGTTACGTGTCGATTTGCGTATGGGAAATAATGAAATTTCTTTGAGACTTAACTTTTTACCATTGCCACTAGTAATTGTTAGTGCACTTTTCGCTGAGGTTTTGCTGGCGATATTATTGTTGGTGAATGTTGCTAGCGTTTTGCGTGTTATTTCAATGCTAGTGCCAGGATCGCTACATCTTTGTAGAACATGTGTTTTCTTATCACTACTTATGCTACAATCGCCGCTACTTCTAATACGACATTCGTCTTCATCCGATGAGCATAAATCAATTGTGTCCACAATAATTTCGGTAGATGGTGATGAGATTTTCCAATTGGAACGTCGTGTAGCATCACGTGTTAGTTTTATATTTAATTTTGTATTTGGTAATGAGCGTCGGGTTTTCACTTCGTTATCGGTGATTTTCTTTAGCCGCACAGAAATTGGACGGCAGCGTCTTATTAGTGAAGAATTTAAGAATAGAAAACTTTCCGTACGTCTTCGTTGTGAGAATTGCCGACGCGGAAAAACGTAGACATGCGAACTGTAGTCTTGTGGCTTTTTAAATGTACAATGTGTATTGGTGAATGTGTGCTTTTTCTCAAAATATTTCGGTTTCGTTTGGGACTTTGAGAGTAAGGGCGCAAAACAGAAACGCTCTAAGCGATCAAGTCGTTCAGTTAAATATTCTGGTGTCATGGCAGTTTTTGTAGTGCGCAATAGCAGTTGTCCAGCAGGCGATGACAACGGTATTGTGGCACAGCGTGCTAACGAATGTACAGCACGATTTCGTCGTGGCATACGTTTATTTTTATCAATAATCATGAATCCGCTTTTCTCGTCTTTAGTTTCCTTCGACGCATTTGACGGTTCACTCTTGCTTGGAACTTTACCATTTTTACTATCGTCACGACATTGCAGGTTAAAATTAAGTAGGAATCCATTACGCAGCTCATTGTCCTCAGTATTTCGTTTCGAATCTGTCGACTGCACATTGTTTTCGCTAGGTTCAGGTGTATCACATAAAATGACATCGTCATCGTCGTCCTCCACATTACAAGTCTTTTCATGTTCCTATTGTGTGAAAGTATTAAAAGTAGCTTAATAGTTAAAATAGTAAGATATTTGTAATTTCATATTATGAGCAATATGTAACTTTAAAAAAAAAAGTTCAAGAAAAAAAAATTGGAGAACTTCCACCAAAGTCCATATAACTTTAACAGACTTAGTCGCTAGGATTTTTACAAAAGAATTACACATGTACAAATGTATTTAAAATTATTTGATTAGTTTGTTGAAAACTTTCTAATGTTGTTGTTGTAAAAGTAGACTTTTTTTTAAAAGCTTTTTACATTTTCTAAAGGCTCCGAAATAGAAGCCAGCTAGTTGCTTTTGAAAGGTGGACTATAATATCAGTGAGGCCGACGTAACCAGAATGGAATCGGATTTATCATCTGATCAAAAATGACTCGGACTGGTCTATTTAAATTGTGCTGGCAAAACGAATCGATAAATTTGTTTCCCTAGATTGGTGCAAATTTTTTATAGTCGTGTTAGTTTGATTTGCAAATGTCAATTAATGTGTGTTTGTTGCGACGCGAAAAGTTTGTCTGGTGATTTTTACCATGAAAAAAAAATTTAATGAGTTTGTTCGAAATTTTTCGTTTTCAGTGGAATTAAGGCTAAATTGTGTTTTAGGAAGTCTACTTTATCACGAACACAAGTATTTGAGTGGCACAGCGCATTTAATTTAGATCGTGAAGTTATCGAAAACTTGCCTATTAATGACGATGACATCGAAAAAGTTAAAGAAACAGTGCTTGAAAATCGTCATTTTGGCTTCAGAGAGAGAGAGAGCAGAGGATCACCAACATCTCTTATCGATCGACTCAACAAATTTTGGCAAATGTTTTGTGTATGAAGCGTGTAAGTACTACATTCGTACCAAAAGACCGGAATCTTTTGCAAAAACGAAGTCGAGTAGAGATCGCAATTGACAACCTAGCTGACTCTTACATATATGAACAGTGGGTTTATAAATATGACGTGAAAACGTCCAACAATATAGCGAACGGTCAGTGAAGGCCATCGCTGTCCAGTGTATGGAAAATTGTATTAAATGTTGACATGCTTGTATTTCCTCAAACGGAGCCTATTTTTAAGGCGATGATAAAGATTTGTATTAAAATACGAGAAAATTTTATTTTTTGTCAGTCAGTATTCCTCCATATTATTGAGTACATGTATTTTGTAAAATAATGTAACATTACTTTTCATAGCTTTACAGGAGAAGGAAAAACGATATTAAATAGAAACCACTAATATTAAAACAAAATTTGAATTTTAGTTATAAATATGTTATATCTAATGCAAAATTTTGTACATATGGGCTTGTAATATGATGTAGTGAATCGTAGTCAATAAAAAAACTCAATTTAAAAATTTTCGTTCACAAGTTGTTTTGCATTTTAGGTGACGATATGTGGTATATATAATAGAATATACATATTTACCGAAATAGCTTCTTTCGAATACAATTCAGCATCGCAATTGTCGCATAGATAAATATCGAATGGTGCTGGTTCGACCATTATTTGTTCGGCATCCGCTCTGTCTTGATTGCCACTTTTTGACTTCTGTCGCATTAAACATTTTCGACTGCGTTGAGGTTGATCGTAAGACTAAAAATATTCAAAATAAATATAGAAAACCTTATTTATACGCTTATATACTCCTTTTATTTACCATGTTTTCATTTCTAAACGTCACCAACAATTTATTGCTACGTCGTTCAAAGAGCGAAGTTGTCGAATTGTAATTGTTTATGAAGCGTAGACTCGCATGCTCATACGCAGCCAAATCGTTGCAGAAACGAAGCAGAAAAACGCTTCTATGAAATTGATAGCATATTATAATTATTTCCTTCATTTTTTGCGCCCAATTCTATACAACAAATATAAGACACAAATATTTAAAAACAAAAAAAAAATGTTATTATATTATTATTATTACGCCAGTGAATTTTTTCGGCTTCGTAAATGGTATGGTGAATGGAAAATCTTCAGGCCACCACTCCGGTTCGCTGCAGTCTGTTTTTTCTTGAAAGTTTATGTGACCAAGCGAACAACGTACCATAAATGGTATGAATTTTTCAAGTTGTGACTCTGTTATTTTTTCCAATGATGTTGGATAGCCATTGGCGAACAATAACGGTAAATTCGATATCATATTTTGTTGAACTTCCTCCTGTTCATCCATGTCTTTCTGTAAAAAAAATATTTATAATTATTATTAGTTTAATAGTTTAATTATTTGGAAAAAAATGCAATAATTTTTTAATTTAGAAACATCATTCTTAAATTAATTGAGAATAAACTCTAAGCTGTTATGCCCGCCAAAAGCGTAGTAGTTACGTAAATAAAATAATGTTCACATATACATACATATGTACGTACAATACTTAAAAAAACTTATACGCCTAAGGGTATGCTATTATAGTTCTAGCGGAAATACGCAATGTGCATATGTGTATGCGTTTATATATTGAAACCAACATGTTTTTTTGATGTTCATGCAAATTAGAGCAATAAGATTTTAATAATTTTAAGGCGTTAACCCCTCGGCTATCACTGAACTATAGTGAATCCTCTGCTACTCACATGAGGCCGCATGCTGTGTAATATACTTTGGCATACATTTTTGATAACTCTTTGAAAAAGTACATCATATTTTCTTTACAATTCGCCTTTCATAGCTATAAGCCCAGTCCAGGGCAACTTTTATAATCTTCAATCGTCAAAGATAACTACATGTAATATTGATACTATATTATTTTAACCTCAATAAAATGTTTAACCTCTTTTTGTCATTGATTGTTTTTAAATAATTCCAGGAAAAAAAGTTTGGTTACACTAGTGTGTAAAATATATGTCTACTTCACATTTCACGCCATGTATTGTCCAACGAATGCACGTCACTCTCTTATATAACAATAGAGCGCAGTTATTTCAGCCTCTCTTATAGAGAGTGCTCTCCCACAGCATAGCATGTAACAAGAAACAAAAAAAAAACTTGTTTATTTTCTAAAGCAGATCTAGATATATTATTTTTGCTGTATATAAGTATCTGTTTTATTGGAACATGAACTTCGCAGTAGTCCGCTGGATGTGTTCCACTTTGAGCAAACTATCGAGAAATCGGAATATATGTGCATATGGGTGACCTTAACGGTGTTTGCTATTTACTAATCAAACAATTTTACAACTAATAGGATGAGTTTTCAAAATATTTTCCAACATTGAATTTGAGTTGGAAATCCTCATAAATTAGATGTAGAGCCATTATGATGAAAATTCTTTCAATTTAGAGTGTTTAATTATTTGTTTATGCTATTAAAAGTAAGCCTTTAACACAAATCACAAAAACATGTGCATTCAAAAAATTTATATAGTTATACAAATAACTTAATATGTTATTTGTCATTAATGTATGTTCATTAGTTCATCTTGAAATATACATAAGAACGTTTAAAAATGAACCTAAACAATATCTTATGTCTAATTTAGTATTTTGCAGCTGTTAACTATGAAAATAATAGTTTTAATCACAAATAGGCATATCTTATGTTGATCAAAGATACACACATGTAGTTGTAGTTGTAACAACGTAATTCTATAGTGGGAACGCTTTTGTTTTAAGCCGACTGCGTAGCGAAATTTTTTTAAATAAATCATTTTTAATAATAGGCTTAATAAATTACACTCCCATATATTTTTGTACTGGACACGGTGCTTAAAAATTCCTTTCCTCTTGACCTGAAACGACCTTATACATGGCTAAATATACAATGTGTTATGTATCTAAAATTCTTTACATAAACTAATGCTATTAATATTTTCCCACTTTGCTACTACTTATCTGACAATTGTCAACTTACAGGATCGATTATGCTTCCAACAAATGAAAAGCGGTTGTGCTTTCTCTGGGTGCCTTATTATAAAAAAAAATGCCACTTCCACTTTTCTGCAAGTAGAGCCTTTCAACTCCTTTACACCGTAAAGTCCTTCGATCTGACAAAATTAGACCGCTTGGCATGCGCAGATTGTACAATGAAGGATTCTACTAGATCCACTCCCCTTGAAGCGAACTCTCAAGCTAAATTCGGAGCTCACAAATATGGCCGCAACAAACGCAAACTATTCCCAACTGCTTTGTACTGTTCCTATTGCTGGGGAAAGTGTTTGCAAATGCTTATAACTTTTAATCATCTGATATTAATTTTCACAAAATATATTAGTTTAAGCTCTTGTGGGCTTATTTTCTTTATTTTTTCACCAGTACATTTTTGTATAACTACAAATTACAAATACGATAGCCTTTTTTACAGTGCTTTTCAATGTAAAGTGAGCACCCAAAAATTTCTTTGCATTCCAAAAATGAATATTGGAAGACATATGTGATATCAAGAGGTAGTGTTGAAAAAGTGCGCAAATGGCGTTGCCATTTGTTTTAGTAATATAGCAAACTATTTATAATTTCTACTGAAATAACCCGTCGTCCATTTTATATTAAATCCAACGTACTTAAAAAATTTGAAATAATACTTTTTTTGTGATATAAATTACAATTATTTCTTTAATAACTTTTTTACTAAATAAATGAGATTTAGCAGTTAAATAGTACATTTGGAAGTCAGTATAAGCGCGCTGGTCAAATATTACGATTTTGTATATTATTATTTTTTATATTATTGTTAGCTTTTAATTAGATCTTTAAAAAAATGTATTCTTAATGCTTGCAATTCTTTAAATATTTAATATTAGTAAATTTTTTGGAGTAAACTAATTATTTTATACTTTTTGGGTAATAAATATTTTACTAAGATGTACATTTATGTACATAGGTCTTAAATAACAATAAATAAAATTAAATGTAAAAATAATACATGTTCAAAACTAAAAATGAAAATGCAAACCGATGAACTGAGGGAATAACGATATTTGAATAGCTTCCAGTGAACTGGAAATATGGAATTCGATAGTTTATTATCGAATAATATGATGGTCGAAACAATCTTTGTTTTTCTTGCATCTGTGAATTTTTTGCATTTGTTTCTTGATTAATTGAAAAATAAACTTTTTGGTCGCATTCTTTGAACTCGTTTTATATTTCAATGTTTCGATGGATGGGAATGTAAAGACGTGCACTCTATATAATGGGCTCTTGTCTGTGTAAAGATAAAAACGAAAGTGAAGAGGACAATAATGATACGGGCGTTGGGCGTACACCACGGCATGCAAGAGGTTCACTCAGAAACTTATACCGTAATACGGAAGTACTGCAGACAAATGCCACATTAAAAACACTTTCTGATACCATTGATAAATTAGTACGCGAGACATTAGATGTGATTAGTACAATGATTGATAAGTATGTGTTTTACTTTTTCAGCAAATGCATAAAATAAACTATATTAAATAATAATTTTTATTGAAGTGAACCGGAGCCACCTAGCTCTATATTAATGCTACACATTATCACGGAAAAGCCAGCTGGTTGGACTGAACTGGTGCGTTCATTAATGCGTGTAGTGCCGGTAGAACATCCCATGGGCCCTAGTGTTATAGCCCTATTACTCGATGACAGTCCACTGCCTACAAAAGAATCCGTACTGAAGGTTGGCGAAATGGTTGCGCCTAAATATGGTTTAAAAAATAACCTACGCAAAGAACGAAATTTATGTGTTATACTTGGCTGCTTAGCAGAAAAATTGGCAGGACCTAGCAGTATTGCATTACTTAACGATTCCATGTTAAAGTACCTGATTAGTAATTTAAATGAAGACATCGATCCGAATGTAAAACTTCTTTCATTAATCGCACTCGAAAAATTTGCCCAAACGAGTGAGAATAAAGTGACAATACAGGTAAGCTAAGTAATGCATTCCTCAAAAAGAGTATTAATGAAGAATTTTTTTGTTCTTGAACATGTTTCCCAAAACAGAAAACTTTGCAAGAAATGAAACAAAGTCCGTTTTTAGCGCTGGAGGAGCATGTATCATCAACCAATTTCTTATTGCGTCAAATAGGATTTTGCGCTTGTTGGTGTTTAGACAACTACTGTGAGTGTTAAATTTTTTTTTTTTATCAAGGTACATATCCATAACTAACGTTAAAATATAAAATTTTCAGTTCCAGTAAGTGGGCGACAATATTCATATGAGACAACTAATGTCTCCAATATTAACGCCATGCTTAATACGAAGGATGTTAGTGAATATTTGAAAATCTCACCAGATGGTTTAGAAGCGCGCTGTGATGCTTACACATTTGAAAGTGTCCGCTGCACATTCCAGGTAAAAGCAGTTAATAAAATGTTCAAGTGACAATCAATATAATTCGAATTGTAATTGTATTCATTAGATAACCAAAGGTTGTTGGTATTATGAAGTGCTCCTAATAACACCGGGTGTCATGCAAATCGGTTGGGCTACAAAAGAATCGAGTTTTCTAAGTGACGATGGTTACGGTATAGGTGATGACAAATACTCTATTGGATTTGATGGTTGTAGGCGTATTATATGGCATAATGCCAAGTCAATTCCACACAGTTTGCCAACATGGAAAAGTGGCTCGATTCTTGGTTGTTTACTTGATTTAGACAAACAGGAAGTTATTTTTACTCTCGATGGAGAATCGACTGATCCTTATAGACACATATTCAATAACGTTAAGTAAGTGTATTACATAACTATTTTATATATGCGAATATTAAAAAAAAATAATATTTTAGGGAAGGATTTTTTGCAGCAGCAAGTTTTATGTCCTTTCAACAATGTAGATTTAATTTTGGACTGGAACCATTTCGATATCCACCACAAAGAGCATTTCACAGTTTCAATGAAAGTGGAAAGCTGAGTTCAAGTGACAAGGTAAATGTATATGCAAATGTGTTATTTTGGAAAATATCTTAATTTATTCTCTCTTAATTTATCTATTTATTCTATTCTATTAATTTCCTTATCCTACAGATAATTTTGCCGCGGCATATTTATCTGGATATGTTAAGAAAAGTGAGTGTACGTGATGACTCCTGTACACTATGCTTTGACAAAAAGGCTATTATGAGGTTGGAGCCTTGCGCGCATAGGTAAACTTTATTAATTTATATACGAGTACATATATATTTATGCCATTCAGATTATTATAAATGCCTTTTTTTTCTAATATGTTCACAGAGGGTTTTGCGTCACGTGTACGGAACAGCTAAAGTTTTGTCCGATGTGTCGCTCGGACATACGTACAAAAGTACAAGAATGCACTGATAGTCCTGTTAATGTGGAAGTTTCTGAAGCAGAAGTTATGCCCACGGAAACATGACAGATATTTTATCTCAAATCATAGTGATGTAAAAATTACGCACTCGTAGAGAAGAACGATCTATACATTTTGCCTATATCTCTTCAGAGTTTTTTTTTTTTGTAAATAAGTTTTAAGTAATAATCAAATTTTATCGCTAGGATAAAATAAAGAAAAAAATCTATAGTCTATTACGTTTAAAGCGTAAATACTAATATGATTATTTATTATTTATAATTCTATCGTATGTACTCGATTTTCGTTAATTTATTTCAACTAGAAAATTATTTTTTATTTTTTCTATAATATTTAACTACGCGGCCGTGGCTTGCAATGTGATTGGTTCCTTTTGCAGTGCTGTAGATAAACTACCTTCCCATATTTCTGAGGTATGCTCAAGCACTTCACTTGACGTGGCAGTTTTGTGACGCATAAAATAGCCTTGTACCTGTGCAGGACTGGCCTTTCGGCCATCAGCTAATACGCATTTTGCGAATTCCATCGCAAGCTTACGTGGCAGCTTTTCTTGTTTGCCATAGAAACGTAAAAACATTTCCTCCAGTTGGTATGCATCGCAATGACCGACATATTCCTTTACGTCAACACGACCGGGTCGTATAAGTGCTGGGTCTAAACGTTCTAAGTAATTTGTGGTCATAAATACAATACGCGCTTCGGTCGAAGCAACACCATCCAGACAATTGAGTAAACCACTAAATGTAATGCGATTGAGTCCTTCGTATGCAGCTGCTTGTTGTTTGACATCTTCACGTGATGCAAAAGCAGCATCCACATCCTCTAACAATATAATTGATTGTTCTGGCGCCACATTCAAAAGATGATTTAGACGATCATCTGTTAGTCCACGTTCTGATAAATTCAACAAACAGATACCATATTCAAGTTCACCCGCTAGAGCAGTAATAAAACTAGATTTTCCACAACCTGGTGGTCCGTACAGCAAATAACCACGTCGATAAGGTATACCGCGATCTATATACCATTGAGAATTGCCGATGAACTCTTTACAGTCAGTGACAATACGCTCTGCAACACCGTTCTCGAGTACCACAGAGGATAACGGTCGTCTGCGACGTGGATGTCCAAATTGCCGCCATTCGGAACCCATAGCGGTGTACATAAGTGTTTTACCTTCGGTAGCTTCCAAAGCAAGTAAACGTGCCTCTTCGAGTATATCAAAATACAATTGTTTATTACGACCAAATGCTGTTAGGGTAACACTCTCCCATGGTACACCCATGTGTAAATCCAATGTTTGCTGTTCCCGCGTACGTTCAACTTGTATCCAAATACCTTGATAGCGCATTAAATGTTTTCCAATACTGGGTATAAAGTCATATTTTGTACGTATTTGACCAGTTTCTTTTTGCACAAATGATGTCTCGACGCTGAGATGTTGTGTCTCTCTTGCTCCTCTCACAGTAATCCATTGCAATAACCACTGATAAGATTTATCCCGGCAAGGTACTTCTAATGTAATCATCATGTGTCGACGAAACAAAATTATTGCACCTTGCAGGCCTTTCCGCAAAATAGCTGCGCCGGCACCTATTCCGAATAGGCCAAAGCCTGCTCCAAAATATGGATTTGTTGATAATCCACTCACAATTTCCGAGAACGGCATGTTTTGCCTATCTTACCTAATATGGTTGATTTGAGGTAAAATTTTTTAAAAACATATGTAAATCTATGGCTCATTGTTGTTGTTACCGGCAACAGCTGTTGGGTGGTACAGAGTGCAACAAAATGTTTGCAAACTTCAATTTCAGTACTTGTTTAGCCCACCCTATATCTGCCTTATGATTCATATTTTTACAAAGGAGTTATTATTAATCACAATCAGTGCGAAAACCAGAGATAAAGCGAAAACTATTTCCATTAGACAATTACTAAAAATATTAATACCGTACGATAACATACATAGTTGCTGAAATTATTTTGCTATTTAAAAAATAAGAACAAAATGGCCAATGCTGAAATTGAATCTCGTTCAAGTCGTTGGCGAAAGGTGGGTTTACAAGGTTTGCAAATCTAAATAACAGTTTATATACAATGTAGGTATATGTATATTTTTATCTATTTACATATGTGTTTATTGTTGTATTTTTATCAGTAATGGATATAAATATGTGATTAATTATTCCAAATGTTATCTTAATTTCATTTATGGCAAAAATTAGAAAAATAGTTGCATCTGTTTTATTTAAGCCCAGTTATATGGCTTCATTAAGTTCGCAACTTGCGGGGATGTTTTACTTTTGTCACTGACATGCAGACAGTTTAAGTAACTCAACTAATAATGGATTTACGTTTTGGAGCTACCGATTTCGTGGCTTGTGACTTAATATATCTGCTAACTAGAAATCTGCTAGCTTTGAGTTTAAAGTGTTGCAACATTTAGACAGTTATACGAAACTTTGACGTTGGGCATAGCGGATTTATAGACGAAATATACTCTATTGAAGTTAATGGGAAGCCCTATTAGAACTTTAATCTATTTCGCGAGAAAATAAGTTTGTGTCAATTTTAAAGTTGAAGGTGTGCTTTTCCAATAATCGGCTCTGCTGATAAAATTCAATATGCTATTCGTATACATGACTAAATATACCTACAAAGCTTACATACATTCCTTTATAAGATTACTAAGATATTATTATTGCAATAATGCAAGAAAACGCGTTGAAAATATGAAAAAGTTATTTTTAAAGACCTTAGATGCAATAGAAAGTTAAAATATGTTACATTTTTACAAAAGTATATTTTTGTAGTACTGTTATGAAAATTTTATATTTAAAAACAAATAATAAATTGGTGGTTTTAGAAATGCAAAATGGTCAAAGTTTTGTTATGCACATCGAAATTCCACAATTAAATAAGTAAACTATTATGCAAACTACGCATTTGGTAGTGCTAGTTAGTGGAAAGAGCATTTGTTTGCTTTATTTATTAACAAAGGGTTGAAAACACTGTTATGATAAAGAAATAGCTTTCAATGTGCTAATTAAAATGTAAATTTATTTAACATTTTTCCTTATTTTAACAGGCTATGGTCGGTCCACTACCCAATGATTTTCTACGCATTAATAATGGCGTTGACGCGCAGGTGGCTGCAGATAGTCAAACAGCGGCAGCTGTATACCAACAACAAGTGTATACACAATATGTTGTGAGTAGACGCATTATCAACGCTTTTATCTTTGTTAATAATTTTTATATATAAATAATTCTCGTTCAAGGCACCAAATTATGTTGGACGTTTGAGCATCACCTGTGCACAAGCGAAATTAGCACGTAATTATGGCCTTACCCGCATGGATCCCTATGTGCGTATACGTGTCGGTCATTATGTATACGAAACACAAACAGATCCAAATGGTGGTAAACATCCACATTGGAATCGTGTAATACAAAGTCAATTGCCAGCGGGTGTTAATTCGATTTTCATAGAAATATATGATGAATGTAGTTTTAAAATGGACGAATTGATTGCATGGTGCGAAATCAAAATACCACAAAGCGTGATGCGCGGTGAAACGCACGAAGAATGGTATCCACTTAGTGGTAAACAAGGTGACGGCCTCGAGGGCGCTATCGACATAGTTTTGAGCTTTTCCAATCAACCCATGCAGCCATATATGTACCAAACTGTGGGCGGACCAGCGCAAATGTTAATGGTACCGCCTGGTAGACCAATGCCAATATTTGTAACACCTCAACAACCACCCGTCGCCAATACGGTAATTCAGCCGGCACCGCGACAATTATCCGAAGAAGAATTCAAACAAGTGAGTATAGTGACCTTTTGTTAACGCAATTAGTATGAGTTGTAATCAGTGTTACAAATTTTGTATTAAAAATTAGATTTTGAAGTTTTAATTATGTTTTTGGGATTAAAAATTAAGTTTTTAAATTCCAAGATGTTACTAAGATTTTAGTTTTGCAAGCCAATTTTTAAATAAAACAATTTTTGATCAATTTTCAATGTTCCAATTTTAGAAATTAAAGTAACAAATATTAAAATAAATAAAATAAAATTTAAAATTAAAAGCTGAAATAAAATGGAGTAAAAGGAAAGATTTACATATTACTAACTAAAAACTGAAATTGGAAATTTAATTTTTAATCTAATTCAAACAAAATCGAAATTAAAAATTGATAAAATATTTTTTAATTTAAAAATTGTAGTCGCAAATAAACGGATTATTTTTGAAATTAATAGCCGGAAGGAAAATAGATAAACAATATTTATATATTTCTAACTGAAACACTATACTTAAAACTAATTCAATATAAATAAGATAAAGAGTGCTAAACTATGTCGCTATTTTTATTAAAAAAAATGCATTTCTTTTCAAAAGATAAACAAAACGGTTGAACACGAAGTACGTAAACGCGAAAAATGTAAATTGTAAAACTATTTCTTTTGTTTTGAGGTTTTAATTATAAAATCGTGATACAAATTTTTTCAATCCGCTATTTAGGATTAAATTAATTTTCATTTTTAATTTTTAATCCTATTTTTTAAATTACATTTTTTTATTTAACATTTTTCGATCCGGTATTATTGGGATTAAACTCTTTTTTTTTTAATTCGGTATTTTTGGAATTAATTTGTTTCTATTTTGCTATACACTATTTATCATTAGAACTTTGGAAATTCTTTTTTATTAAGATTTTCGGGATTGCAAAAAAATTTAATTTGCATGTTAATTAAATTATTATTTTTTTTAATGCATTATTTGCAATTCTGCTGGTGACATACAAATGTGCATGTATCATACTTGAACTATGATTTTTTTTACAGATTCACGAAATGTTTCCAAATATTGACAAGGAAGTTGTCAAATCTGTATTTGAGGCGAATAATGGTAGTAAAGATGCAACAATAAATTCACTGCTACAGATGAACGAATAAAAGAAATTGGAGCTGCGCAGTTATTTTATACGTACATATAGTTATATATACATACATAAAATATAAACGTCTATACAATATTATTAACAATACTAAAAACTATGCTTTTATGAAATAAAATTTAAAAATTAGATTTTTCATTTTGTCACGCATAAGCATACAGATTGTGTTACTACTTACTACTTACTACTTACCGATCCAAAAAGGGTTAGATCGCCGAAATAACAGCCCTTGGACGAATAAAATCCGGCTGTGGTGAGAATTGAACGGATTGTGTTTTTTTTTGTGGTATATGTATATAATTTATTAGGACTTTAGTCTTCATTCAAAAATGTATTCCTTCAACTAACAACTTACTATCAGTCTAATATTATAACTTCTGAATTTATATGTAAATTAGTCTTGGGCGAGCTCAATGTTTCACTTTGTTGTTGATTGGCCTTTTTGCGTTCTGCTAATTTTTGTTGTAGCGTCTTTGTTGGTGTTGTTGGTTGACTGGCAATCGCTTGTGGCGAACTCAGAGTTGTTGCGAATGTTGTTGGTTGCGTTGTTGCTCCTAGTGTTGGCAACGGATTAGTTAATGCAATCGAACTTACCGCAAATTGTTTGAGCGCAGCGCTATTTACATCCATTGTAGGACAATATAGTGGATGATTCTCACCAAGCATTACGTTTGGTGTACTTAATGTATCCGGTTTGGGCATTTGTAGTGTATTAATGGCAGTGGTGTTGGGTAAAATATTCGAACTAATTGTGTTGATGGGCATTGCTTGTTTCGGTTTACGTTTGGCGGCGGTACGTGGTTTCTGTTGTGTCGGCATTGAAAAGTTTTTTAACTGTTGTGGCGGTGGCTGTTGCGATTGCGGTTGCTGCTGGAAGGTATTACCATCATGCATTAGATTCATAAACATTTGCATTTGTTGGTTATACAAGTCGCTGCTACCAAAAGTTGCTAACGATGGATTGACAATTGGCGCATTCGCGACATTTAACTGTTTACCCACTTTCGTTCCACAACCCTTTGTTGGTTTAGTTTGCGTTGTTGGATTACTCATTGTCATGCTGTAATTTGCTGGTGGCGCATGCGCGACGCTTGAGACAGGATTGGCGTTGTAAATGTATGGTTGCACTATATTTGTATCGGTTGGATTGACGTTGGCGATAGGTTTATTACTCGTGGTAACAGTGGAGGCGACGGGCATATTCATTGGCATTGTTGTATTGATGCTGCAAAACGGTGTAATTGTTATGTCGTAATTAGCCAGTGACTGTGTGGCGCTAATCGATGTTTGTGTTATGGCAGTGGCGTCTTGTGGATTCTTTGTTATTGACGGTGTTATTGTAGTTTCCATGGGTAATGAAGCTGATAGAAATATAGGATTTGGTGCTAGCGTCGACAAATTGCTCATTGAAGAGAACACGGGATTTGGTTGTATGGGCATTGATGGAATCGCTGATGGCATTGGAGTATTAACAATTTGCTCGGTAGGTAAGGATTGAAACAAGGCTTTATATTGCTCAAGCACTTCCCTCATGAAATGTGGCTGTGAATAATAATAAAATAATAATATTAATAAACAAGAAAAAACGTTTACCGGAGCTTGAATACCATTCACAGTTGCACTTTTGAAAGCATATGTGTTCCGATAAGAACAATATATTCGAAAATTGTAGCGTTGCCTGGATAATAATCTCTGCCAAACTTCGTAGTAATATGTTGTGAAATAAAAATTTTTTCCATACAAGGACTTGATTCTGATTGGACAGTTTGTGTGGCAGCTATATGCTACAGTGGTCGGATCTGAACAATTTGTTTTGATATTGTAGCGCTGCCTTTGACAATAATCTACGCTAAATTGAGTGAGGATATCTTGTCATATAAAAAAGTTTCCATACAAAGACTTGATTTTTATTGTACATTTTGTATGGCCGCTATATCCTATAGTACTCCGATATCGGCGGTGCCGACAAATGAATGGTAGAAAAGGGCGTGTGAAAAATTCCAGAACAATATCTCAAAAACTGAGGAACTAGTTCGCGTATATACAGATGAACTGACGAATGTGGCCAAATTGACTCAGCACGTTACGCTGATTATTTATGGTATATTTTTATATTATATATACATATGTATACTTGTATATATATATTTATTTTATAGGACGTTTCCTTCTGGGCGTTACTTCGTGGCAAACCTAATTTTATTTTCTACTGTTTGAACAGCTAAATTTATACTTACATCATGTTGTTTGCTTTCTATAACTTGTTTAGATGCCTCCAACAGTTGCTGCATCTCTAAAGATAGCTGCAAAACAAACAGTAAATAAATGTTTCAAATCATTTTTAGATTCTACAATGTAGTATATGGTATAATGCTTTCGGGAATAAGATTTTGAAATAGTTATGCTATGTTATATGTAATCATGTAATGAATTTTATTAAACTATAAATACTTACGAACTCTCCTCTAAGTAAATTGCCCCAAATGGATTCACCGGACGATGCCGTCACATGCATGCCCCCCATGTTAGGCATATTCTCACCACCACCAATGCCACTCTCTATGCTTTTGTTAAGGCTTGTTCGTGCGCGTTGACGCATCGTTAGACCGGGTATATAAACTTGTTTGGGCTGGAAAAAAAAAAAAATAATGTTTTAATTGAAAAATGTCACCAATTTGAAGCACTTACTTTCATGTTGAATGGCTGTGCTGTTGGATTTAATAAACTCTGTGATAGATCACAATCGTTGCTATTAATTTTCTCCTGATTGCGACGCGATGCGATTTCATGTAAACACAGCTTTATAGCCAAATCGAGAAAATTTAAATTCTCTGGCACATTATCGACTTTATTTTGTATATAAAATTTATAAACATCGACCATAAGATCGGTGAAGAGTGATTCCTTCTGGTTCATATATTTTAAACACTTCTTATGAACTTTGTATATGTCGATTAAAAGATTTAATGTCTCTACATCGTTGCGACTCTCCGTATTTTGCTTGAGTATATCACGCATTATTTGCGCGCAATAATTCAAAGCTTGTTGGGAGAGTTTCAATCTCTCGCAATCTTTTATGTAACGTCTGAAATTAAAAATTAAAATTGTATTAGAAAAGATTTTTACTTAAAATGAGCAATTAGAAAGTGTAGTTGTTTATTACACACAATAATTTTATCGATTGTCTACAATTAGAATATGGTTTAATTTCGATTCTACAAGACGCGGCAGAGGGTTTCAGACGAACATTACAAAACAGTCAAATTTTAATTAAAACAAGAAAAAACGTTAACTTTGGTTGCTCCGAAGCTAGAATACCCTTCACCAATGAACAAGTTTTCAATACACGATCTTCGTCTTGATCGGTTAGTTTGTATGACAGCTATAAGCTATAGTGGTCCAACCTAAAAAAATTGATCGGAGATGTTAGCGCTGCTTTGGATAATAATCTATGCCAAATTTCGTGGGAATCTCTTTATAAATAAATAAGTTCTCCATGCAAGGACTTGATTTTGAATGGTCAATTCGTATGACAGCTATATCTTATAGTGGTACGATATCGGCGGCAAAATATGCTCCTTCTGAAGCGCTACACATATGCTATCTCTTTTTCCAATCATCGAAACATGCCTTGTAGGTCCGAAACACGCATGGGGCCAAATCCGGTGAATACGGTGGTTGATCGATGGTATTGAACAAGTTTTTGATCTTAAAATCGTTCATTATACTCTGTAGCAACATGTTGTAACATGAAACCAGAAAGTTTCCGGAAATTGTCTTTTTTTCGATATTCTCGGTTTGGTTCATCATGTTCGTTCCAACGGGACATACGATCAATAATGAGTATTATTTGAGCGTGTTGAGGCGTTTGCGCGAAAACATCCGTCGTAAACGGGCGGAATTGTGGGCCAACAATTTTCGGAAATTTTCTGGTTATAATGTATATACTTTACGGGGTTTCCGACGAGTCCTTCTGGGTGTTACAAACATCATGACAAACTTAATATACCCTGTTCATCGTAAAGTAAGGATGGTCTCATTAGAAAAGTTAATATTGGGCATCCAGTGTTCGCCACATGTAAAAAAATACAGACACAGAAGACCACTAACCCTGTGAGCAATAGACTGCTCTGGGTAGTTCGGGAAATATTGAGATTTTTTCGACATACCAGACAAATCACTATCATCGTCCGTTTGACTATCGTGTCTACGATACTAAATTAATTTCGAATTTGTATCCCAACTACGATGTAGCTGTAACTAGAAACAACAACAACGACCTAGCTTGTTCTTACGTAGTCGGCGAAGAGGTTGGTAAAATACATTCACAACGAATTCGAAATTCCAAATATCAGCATTCATATCTGTATACAGCTAAATAAGGGCTTCAAACCGCTATGTTGCTTTGGAATAGCTTACTGTACTTAACTAAGCAACTTAGGGGATCTCACAATACGAGTATACAGCTTTTGGAAGGTGATGGCTTTCAGCAGTATAAAGCCATTTTTTTAGACCCGAATGTTAGAAAATTTTGATGGAGAAAAGGTTTTCATGAGGGTTATGTGAAAGTGGGGTGGATTTTAACCAGTCCTTTAGAAAACTCTACAGCTCTTTTAAGAGGCATATCACCAATAAATTTCTTAACACTTACTTGTCTTGCTCTGGGGTCTTAAAAAGTTGCAGTCCCACGTCGATAAGTAATTTGTGATTTTTAGTTTCGTATAGCAATTCAATGGCAATAGCAGCGCATTTTACCAAATGCGATGAGAAATTTCCAGGCCGATCGATTTCCGACGACGGTATACGCCAAATACCGTTAAATATGTTATTCCATTTTCTATCGTAAAACACGCCATTAATTTGATTCTCCAAACTGGTTTTGTATTGACCCAGCAACAGCTCCTCGCAACGTTGTAAATTTTTGAAACTTGCCAAGGGCGTGTTCTTGTAATGATGTGCCAGGCGATAGATCGACTTGTAGTGTTCCGGAAACCGTGTGACACACTCCTCTAAATTTTGCACAACTATTTTATAGATATTCTCCACTTTATATGCAGGATATGGAGTATTCAATTTCTTTGAGTCGTTCGAGGTGCCATCGGAATCTGAATCTGAGTCGGATGATGATGAGTCTGTGCCGCTGGTGACCGATGTAGTGCTGCTTGTTATTGTGGTTGTTGTGACAGTAACACCGCTTTCCTGAAAACAATAGAGCGTGTAAATGGATTATTTTATAAACATTTTATCATTATATGGGATGGGAAA